TGTTTTCTTTGCGACTTGCGGTAACTGTGGTTCTAAATCAATAGTTGTTTAATGGTCCAAAAATTTCGGAAACATTAACTTGCTTAACCATGCTGTAGGTCATGTAACTGTCTGTTACATGCAATATGTGTCGTGGACTTCACCAGATAGAAGTTGCTATCCGGTTTTGTGATAAAACAAAGGTGTGGTTGAATTTATTCTGCCACTGTCTTCTTATTGTCTTGGCTTTTAGGCCTATATATCACGGTCGCAAAGTATATGAATTAACAGGAAACAATGCAATAAGACGGGGGGAATACCAGCACCGCTACTGGTATCTGGTGCTGTGAATCATTATGTTAGTGCAAACATTAAATGAAAGTAATACACACAGTTTTTACTATCTGTCTAGGGCCTGAATTCAATCAGAACAAGCGTTAACCGGTGATACAGACACACGCATAGTGGATGTTTTGGTGGTGTTGGAGTGGTGAAATCGGTGAGCAGCTGCTCTTGTGATCAATGTCACGAAGCCACACCCGCCCCACTCGCGTTATAAGTCCAGTACAAGTGTAGGCTATATATAAATAATTACGCTCAAAGTGAAATAAATTACAGAAAATAATGAGGATTTCTATCATCCTAATCGAGGTGTAGATTACATCTCACATTCCAGTGTTCGAATTTGTAAACGAGGCTGCATGGGATTTCTGTTCATGTGACTCCGTGCAGCCAATGGTATGTCCGCTTTAGTATTATTACCTGGAGCCACTAAAACCGGAGCCAATTGTGGATTTGACCGCAATTCCACCTACACCGTCAAAACAAACACTATGCGTATGTCGGCTAAAGCAGATGATTGAATAGAGCCTTAGTACAACACTATAAACTGATAACACTTGTAATGCCCCCTATCTTATGTTCAGAACCTTTGATTGTGCATTCATTGGGGTTTCACACATCTTTCACACCCAGTCATTTATTCAAAATCAAAGTTTTCTGTGAAATACCATGAGAACATTTTGTTTCTTCACCAATACATCAGATAATGATGGGTTCACCATTTAGTCATTTAAAGTACCATTTAACCCAATATAATTAACTGTATAGCCTCTGTTATTCCTCCAGTAAACAATGGCCAGCCTTCACCAGGTTGGGCTGGCAAGATATATTTTGCCCATGTAACAATGGGTATATTTGTTTGCTAATTGCAATCACCATCCTATGATACTTGTGCTTATGAGCATCTGTTTTAGGTATTTAATAATGTAGGGCCTACACAGTCTTTGGCATCAACACCTATCATCCTCTTTTTAATTCTTCATTTTCTTCATCATCTTGAATGAGTGTGAGACTCAAGACATGACAAAATACACAGGCTACAATGGTTGTGAAGAGGAGGACCTAAAGACTGTTATCAATTTGATCAATACTGCTGTGATCAATTTGACTTGTACTGTAGGCTATTTTGTGTTCAAGCATTTTTGTTTTCCCAGAATAAAATAAAATCTCTATACCAAATAGGGAGAAATGATACAGTGTTAGTTTTGTCTTTTGTAGATCCAATGTTTGCTGATGATCACTACACCTCTTTTTCTGTTGTTGGACATTTGAGCCAAAATACCTGATTAGCTTTCATTTGCTTTATGTCACCTAGCTTGCAAAACCCATATTTGGATATGGAGCATAAGTGAAATAAGATAGGATTTATACTAAATATGAATAGTCCCAAATCTGTCTCATGGTAGTCCCTCTTTATTCTATCACCAGTTCTTAGGATAGTTTCACGTTCATATCTGAGAGTCACTGCAGATTTCAACATAACAATAAACAGGTGTAGCTGTGGAGAACTATGCACAGCCTTGTCAGCAGAAATGTACTATTCAGGACCCATCGCAGGCAGCAGTAGCATCAGCAGCAGAGGCCCATGACTGGCTGCCTCTTCCACATGCACAGCCCCCCCAGTGAGGGGTAGAGCACTGCTACAAAATAGGCCCTTTACAACTGTATTAGCAGCCTACACATCCCTGACATTGTGGTTACTCCTAATATTTGACTTAGAATTTTCATTCTGAATTAAAATCTACATTATGAACAGTTTTTGCTAAATACAAAGACCGCTTGTTAAAAAAATAAATATTATAAGCATTAAGATTAACAATATTATAATTATGTTCCATCCCTGAACAAAAATATAACGCAACATGTAAAGTGTTGGTCCCATGTTTCATGAGCTGAAATGAAAGATCCCAGACATTTTCCATATGCACAAAAAGCTTATTTCTCTCAAATGTTGCGCACAAATCTGTTTACATCCCTGTTAGTGAGCATTTCTCCTTTGCCAAGATAATCCATCCACCTAACAGGTGTGGCATATCAAGAAGATGAATAAACAGCATGATCATTACACAGGTGCACCTTGTGCTGGGGACAATAAAAGGCCACTCTAAAAAGTGCAGTTTTGTCGCACAACACAATGTGACAGATGTCTCAAGTTTTGAGGGAGCTTGCAATTGGCATGCTGTCAGCAGGAATGTCCACCAGAGCTGTTGCCAGAGAATTGAATGTTCATTTCTCTACCATAAGCCGCCTCCAACATCGTTTTAGAGAATTTGGCAGTACATCCAACCGGCCTCACAACTGCAGACCACGTGTAACCACACCAGCCCAGGACCTCCACATCCTGCATCTTCACCTGTGGGATCGTCTGAGACCAGCCACCCGGACAGCTGATAAAACTGAGGACTATTTCTGTCTGTAATATAGCCCTTTTGTGGGGAAAAACGTATTCTGATTGGCTGGGCCTTGCTCCCCAGTGGGTGGGCCAGTCTCCCAAGTGGGTGGGCATATGCCCTCGCAGGCCAACCCATGGCTGTGCCTCTGCCCAGTCATGTGAAATCAATAGATTAGGGCCTAATGAATTTATTTCAATTTACTGATTTCCTTATATGAACTGTAACTAGTTTGAATTGTTGCATGTTGCGTTTATATGTTTGTTTAGTATAGTTGCAGTCCCTGGTATAAATATTAATGAACACTAGGCAAACATGATTGCTGAGATGGTTGTTTGCACAACTATCCACAAGAGGGAGTGTTAAGATTACTGTCCTCAATTCTAAACCTGTTGACTGACCTGGGAGCCCTGTTCCCCATAATAACAAATAACATTTTTGTCCATGAAAAATATATTATATAGCCTATCACAAGAGAACACAACATGAATGTTACCTATAGTCTTAGGGTTATCCTTTCCTATGTGATATTACATGGGAATATCATCAAAACCATAATTTATATGTTTTTTTTTATAACAATTTCCCTTCCCCATCTTGCGCAGTTATCACATTTTCCTTAGTAGCTGAGGAACGTTCAACTCCGTTCTCTTGAGGCAGAGTTTAGTAGGCCTATTGATAATTGGTCGAGTGATTTGATATCAACAACATGAGTGGCCATCTGTTGATTGGCCTACCCCACTGGGCACAGTCTATTCCACATTCCTTGAACAGTAACCTGGAGAGAGGCGAGCATCTTTGTGCACGGTTGCTCCTTCCACCCGTAGACTTCCAGTCGCCGCCGTTCCGGTCTGTGACGTCACATTCTTAACACGGTGGCTGGTTGTGGGCTTCTAAGGAATAGGCTACTGATTTCGTCCTGGCACAGGGCAGCAAGACACGCGGGAGAGAACATAACTAGGAAGAGTGAACACCTTTTTTAGGAGCTCAGCGCACACAAAGCGGCGATGCAACAGACGTGTGCAGGTTTTTAGGTGGGATATTTTTGTCCATTTATTGAAAAAAGTTTGGAGGGGGAATGGCTATGGAGGACTAAAAGTGCCACAATTAAATAAATAAATACACCATTAAATAATTACTTAAATGTGTCATTAATTAATTCAAATTTGAATTAAATACATAAATGTGTTATTAAATGTGTCATTAATTAATTCAAATACCGATTCATTTTATGTAAAATACATATATAATAATTTCACTATTTACATTTACATTTCATGGTCCTGCGTTGCAGTGATTCATGAATTACTTAAAACTGTCAAACTGACCCATCAAAAGTTGGTAGGCGGAACCTAACGCCTGATTGGTTACCCTCTGCATCAAGCCAAGACAAATCAATTCCGGATAATGGATTGATGCAGAGCTACTGAACACATTCCAATACACTGGGTGGCGCTATTCACCTCTACATTGGTTTAGTTACACGGTTAAACAGAACTTTCATTGCAACGGCTAAAAATCAAGAGAAGACTCGGTCCTGCTAGCCCCAATGTTGAGACGCTGTGTGAGGTGCAGTTTGAATTAATTAATGACACATTTAATAACACATTTATGTATTTAATTCAAATTTTAATTAATTAATGACACATTTAAGTAATTATTTAATGGTGTATTTATTTATTTAATTGTGGCACTTTTAGTCCTCCATAGGTACCAGGTACTTTTTTTCGTAATGGAAAACCAAAAAAGGCAAGGCGAGGCGAGTAGGTACCATGTAATGGAAAAGCACCATTAGATTTTGAAGAAGTGTAATATCGTTACATGGTAAGTTTAGTCTTTTCCTGGTTTCAAAGGCTGCATTACAGTAAAGTGATGTCATTTTCTGAACTTACCAGACTGTTCTAGCTGTTCTATTATTTGCCTTTTACCACTTAGTCATTATATCCACAATATGATAGTTATTTATCCGAAATCTAAATGTGGAAGATATTTTGTGAATGCACCAATTGTCAACCTTACAATATCGTTGCAATATCGACATCAAGGTGTTAGGTCAAAAATGTGATATTTGATTTTCTCCATATTGCCCAGCCCTAATGTCAATGCATACACAGTTCAGATGAATTGACACAAGTTCAGTGTCTTTGAAAACATTAACACACTGTGCAGTAGTTTACTTTTTTTTCTTCCATTTACTAAAATCAAACTGTTCTGCACCTTCAGTGCTAACAGTACAGCATTCATGTTAGTCATTCTGTGGACCATAATGAGACAGGAAGCTTCAAAGAAACAGCTTTTTTTCCTTTCTTTTAAAAGGAAAGTAAACTTTCAGTTTTTCCTTGCTTGTTCTAACACAACAAATAAAAACATGGGTTGGACATCAGTCTAAGATTCTTGATAACACTTCCACAGTCTCTACATATAGTCTAAGTGCATCAGTAACAGAAACTCCTGGAGCTGGCAAAATTGCAACCTCTTCATCTGAGAGCTCACGGGCCAGCTGAACCTCGGGGACTGACACAGTGCCTCGATGAAGGCAGTGAGGTCCGTTCCAATCGATCCCATATTCTTCAGGAACCTGAATGGATGACAAGCATAATCAGTCTTGTACTTAAAACTAGTTTGACATGTCCTTACACAAGATTGTTATTTTTGGTCACCAAGGCAGTGAGAAATTAAATGTTACTTATTCAGTTTTTTTAAATAATACAGCTTTGCATAGTATGCACTGTAGAAACTACAGCTCACAGGTTGATCTTTAAAAGCTCGGGAGATTTTAAAGAGACAATAATCTATAGTAAATGTTTCATTTAAAGTATCACATTTAGCACCATTTTTTTCTCCCATAATTCCTTTGGGGAAACAATTTTAAGAAAGTGTTTAAAGTTCATTGTTAACCTCAGTAGGATCCTCCTCAGGGCCTTGCTCTCTGTAACTTCTCCAGAGTTGCTGTGGTGACTGATTCCTTTCAGTTCTAAGACCGTGGAAGTTCCAAGCATCTCGAAAAGAGTCGAGGCTTTGCTGAACCAGTGGAAGGAAAATCCGGTGCAGAGCGAAAAGATGGACTTCATTGTCTGGATTCAGTGTCTCCTGATCTTCCAATGAAGTAAAGATCTGATAGAAGAGGTCCAGGGCATGTTCATAAACATCTCTCCACATCCTCTCTATTCTGTGTTTAGGATAAAATTGAGAAATTGTTAATTTATGACATATGCTAAAGTACATTCAACTAGTATGTTAGTTGTGTGAGCCTAGTTGCCAAACATATTTCTTTACCGCTGATTGTGGACACTTCTGCCTGTGATGTGTGAATTCCTGTCGGTACCTCTGCTTCTGATCATGAATTCTGCTACATCTGCATTCTCCCCCCCTTTGTCAGACCGTACCCTTGATGGCAGCCCATACTGCTCAACAGCGGCGATAAAGCTCTGTAAGACCGTATGAGCTCTATTATTGCCGGCCACAGTCAGGTAGACCACTAAACGACTGAATCCATCCACCCCACCGTGGACAACAAATCTCCACCTGTTGCAAACACATGAAAAAATATAACTTTATTGTATAACAATTGTAATGAAACATAGAAAGATGCATTGTTTATCTGCTAATATCACTGACCTGATAAGCTTATGGTGGCCATCTATATGCCACAAAGAGTTTGGGCCAGGAACAAAATACTGCCGTCGCCTTAATACACGCAGCCTCAGACGTCTCATGTAGACTCCCTCTGCATTGACTCTGCGTAAAGACTCTTGCAGTCTTGAGACTGAGGGGAGGAATTTAAAATGAATAACCACACACTCACTGGCTACTTATTTTGAGGATATAGTGGTGTCATAATAAAATAAATAATGTGTGTAAAACAGTCAACTATTACAGAACCACCACAGCTTCAAAAATGTACTTTACTGTCAGATATTGTACATATACATACATACACACATATATATATATACATACATACATACACATATATATACACATATATAAAAATTATATATACATATACATATATATATATATATATACACACATACATATACATACATACATACATACATATATTTATATATATATACATACATATACATACATATATATACATACATACATATATTTATATATATATATTTATATATATATATATACATACACACATATATATACATATATATACACATATACATATACATATATATACACACATATATAGATAGATAGATAGATAGATAGATAGATAGATAGATAGATAGATAGATAGATAGATAGATAGATAGATAGATACCACATGCTCGAACAGAGATGACCTGAGATTTTTTGCCTCCTATGATATTTTGCTTTTCTATGATTATATTATACCCTTTACAGCAGGGGCACATCCGGACAGCTGAGAATATTACTGTCAGATATTGTTCCACCTCTATTAAACAGGAGGCTAAAAATCACAGGACATGTCTATCCTGATGATACAAGTCAGCCGTCCTGAAATGTGTGTTTCTCTTCACATTTCTTCTACACATTCTACATCTCAGAGGCGATGTCTTTCCATAAGCGGGCTTCCTTCACCTTTCAAAGGGGCAGAGCTCCAAATTAAAAATACATTTAAATAATGCCCATATTATTATCTACTCACTTGGAACATGCACACCTCTTGCATTCAGGTGACCACGCATTAGCTTGTAGCCGGTGTTTGGATGACTTCTGTGAATTTCACTTACAATACGGTCTAACTCCTCATCATTCACAGCTGAATAGAGATCTGTCTTTCTGTACAAACAAGAAAAACACAACATCAAGTAATGTTACCTTAAACGTCATATTCTTTCCGAGTGTATGAGAGCAGCAATTCATAAACAGAAAACTCATGAATTTAGTGTAAATACCTTAAACTGTATTGTTGCATGCGCCTCCTGATGGTCCTCTTTGACACACCGAACATCGCTGCAATTTGAACTGCGGGAACTCCACAAAGAAGTTGGTGCTCCAGAACTGCACTCGGTATGTCAAACGCCAAACGCCCCGGTCCCTGTGTGTGTTGGGCCTGAAGTGCCCTGGTACCAGAGAAGCGGTGGACAACTTCTTCTAGATTTGCAATCACTCTGTGGTCGATATCTTCGTCAGAAAGTGCGGAAATGACTCCAACAACTTCAATAAGTTCCTCTGCTTTACTAGCTACATGCTCTGGGTCAGCAGGTCCTGCTTCTACATCCTCTGCTAAGTTTAAAATGTCTCTAACCAACTCCCTGGAAAGTTCACGGAGATCCTCCATTGTCTCTATCCAGGTTGGCCTACTCTCCTTCAGACCAAAGCAATGGATCAGACTAGATTCGCGTTAGCCCCGCCCACTGACTTTGATGGGTCAGTTTGACAGTTTTAAGTAATTCATGAATCACTGCAACGCAGGATCATGAAATGTAAATGTAAATAGTGAAATAATTATATATGTATTTTACATAAAATGAATCGGTATTTGAATTAATTAATGATACATTTAATTACACATTTATGTATTTAATTCTAATTTGAATTAATTAATGACACATTTAAGTAATTATTTAATGGTGTATTTATTTATTTAATTGTGGCACTTTTAGTCCTCCATAAATGGCATGTCTTATGGCAGCCTATTCTGTAAATAACGCCACTGTCACTAACTCCATCATAATGGTAAGACAACTCACTTATTCATTAAAAATGAAAATGTGATTGTGTCAATGTATTGTGATAATATTGATCCTTTTATTTAACCAGGCAAGTTGATTAAGAACAAATGTTTATTTACAATGACGGCATGGCAAGTTGTGCATTTCTTTCAGTGCATTTCTTTAAATGTCTGATCAGCATTTTGTTATCAGTTCTGCTTGTTCATCATAATGTCCAAAATTGTTCATCATAATAGGCAGCCTAGATGAGAAGATGAACTGTGATAACCCCTCTCCAAATGATTGAAATGCATTATGATTGCGTTAATACTATGTGGGAAATACTTTAATAGAGGTTTTGCGTTTTCAAATCATGGTAATTACAATAAGGATAACAATATTTGCTGATTTATTAGGCAACATGATAATATAAATCTGCAAGTTTTTCATTTAGGCAGTTTTGTTTAATCTGATGGCCATAAATGCTGGGTTAAAAACAACCCAATTTGGGTTATTTGGTAACCCAGCACTGGGTAAATATTGGACAAACACATGCTGGGTTATTTTGACCCAGCCAGTTGGGTTGTGTGAATAAGCCAACATGTTGGGTTGTTGGGATTACCCAAACATGGGTTAATTTAACCATCAGTTGGGTATCTTTTACTTTCATACTGGGTTGACCTAGCAGCTGTTTAAAAAAAAATGTAATCCCTAGGTTATTTTCAGGAGGTGTGGCTTATTAGCGTGTGGCTTTCAAATAGAGCTTATTAATGGCCACCCGTGAGAGTAAATGTCATTCCTGTTTACCATGTTAAGTTTACATACAGCAAATACAAAATGTTCCTTAAAATGTTTATCATTTTACACATTCTTCTAGAATATTACGATTATTTATTACATATTATAATAAGGTGGTATCTATCCCAACAGTGTGATTTGTATAGGCCTTTAGCGAACTCATGCACTAATGTAAGCCTCATGGAAGCTATTGTACATATCGCAATAACCCGGCATCAACAACCCAACCTTGCTCTTTTTAAAGAAAACAACCCAACAAAGTGACCCAACGCCTGCAACCCAGCAGTTGGGTCAACCAAACAACCCAGCATTTTTTTGTGAATGAACCATAGATTGAATGACTGCCGTCTTTCTTCAATAATCAATATTGAATTAATCAATTTGCATATGTAGTTAACACATACCATGTAGTTCATCAGTATCAGGCTAATTATTGCATGGCTGTTGTTTTTCTTTGTGCGCAGAGTAAGCTTTGTCCGATAGTAACCCCGCCATTCTGCATATAGATAGAAACAGATTAGGTGACTCTGTAGTAGCCTGCAGTAGCCTAGTAGCCTGCAGTAGCCTAGTAGCCTGCAGTAGCCTAGTAGCCTGCAGTAGCCTAGTAGCCTGCAGTAGCCTAGTAGCCTGCAGTAGCCTAGTAGCCTGCAGTAGCCTATGCCAATATGCACTTTGTCTAAATCATATTCTGAAAGGTGAAATTATCGAAAATGTACATGCACAGTGTGTCATATCAATTCATTGTGTTATAAAATATCTTTATTGTGTTCAAGTTTGATTGTTGTCTACAGTCTGGGATCTTTTCAGTGGTCAAATTACAATTATTGACCTTGATTCTTGAAGAACATAACTTATAAAAGCCTCAGGCTCAGCACAACTGTCTTGGTCTATCATAACCCAAAGTATATGTTTTTTTTACTCCATTGTTTACGAATATCAAGATCGTAAACAACAAAGTATAGCCTCAAATGTTTGAACCTATCATTTGGATGTCATAGACTGTCATTCCTTGCATCACAAGCATTGGTTACATTTTCTTAGTCTCATCCCTCAACTCTGTATATCAAAACAAGTGGCGAGGCTGCCATTTTTTCAATTCCCAGTTTTAATGGTGTAACCTACCCCACTTTGTTTGCTAACTTTTTGCTAATTAAATCATTTTATACCCCAAACCACCTGTTTTACCTCTCTCTCCATCATCACCAGAACACCAATGGGCCTCCTGATCTGATGCTGGACCCCAGGACTGTATGTGTATCTATCGATGAGGTGGTATCCAATCATGTGAGCAGTCAACAGACTCCATTATTACACGGGCATCTCAAGAAAGTGGAGAACAGTCTAACTGAAGCCCAACGTTTTTCCTACCTGCCACGTCGACCAGCAGTTAACATTGAATTCAAAGATGTCTGCTATTCAGTTCCCGAGGGACCATGGTGGAGAAAGAAAGGTGGGTGCATTATAGGCGTTTCTCAGGAATCGTATTTATCAAATCACATTTTTTTTTTTATTTGTCACATCCTTCGTAAACAACAGGTGTAGACTAACAGTAAAATGCTTACAGGCCCTTCCCATCAATGCAGAGAGAAAAATAGAACAATAATAGAAAGATAGTAACACGAGGAATAAATACACAATGAGTAAGGATAACTTGGCTATATACACGGGGTACCAGTTCTGAGTCGATGTGCAGGGGTACGAGGTAATTAAGGTAGATATTTACATATAGGTAGGGGTAAAATGACTAGGCAAAAGGATAGATAATAAGCAGTAGTAGCAGCAGCGTATGTTATGAGTCAAAAGAGTGTAAAGGGGGGTCAATGCAGATAGTCCGGGTAGCTATTTGGTTAAAGTTGCACTATGCAGAAATCACTCCGCCATTTCCTGGTTGCTAAAACTCTAATAGTTCGCCTAATTTCAATTTATGTGACAAAATAAGCTAGTATAGTGTAGAGAATCATTGTACCATCTAAGCCGCTGTTGAATATATTTCCCATAACCAAAAATATTATTGTTTCAGCTGTCTGAAACTGGTGTACAAAACCGAAAGTAAAAGACGCAAAAAAAACGGGAAGCATAGAAATAGCGCACATAGAACAGATCTAACGCTTCTTAGACTTGCTATCAAGTAGAATGATAGATCTATAACTCATATTTCTATGTGAGTTTGGTCGGGTTGCCCAAAAAGTTACATGTTGCCACTTGAACTATTTAGCAGTCTTATAGCGTGGGGGTGTAGAAGCTGTTCAGGGTCCTGTTGGTTCCAGATTTACTGTATCGGTACTGCTTGCCATGCGGCAGCAGAGAGAACAGTCTATGACTTGGGTGGCTGGAGTCTTTGACAATTTTTAGGGCCTTCCTCTGACACCACCTGGTATAGAGGTCCTGGATGGCAGGGAGCTCTGCCCCAGTGGTTTACTGGGCCGTACGCACTACCCTCTGTAGCGCCTTGCAGTCGGATGCCAAGCAGTTGTCATACCAAGCGGCAATGCAGCCAGTCAAGATGCTCTCAATGGTGCAGCTGTAGAGCTTTTTGAGGATCTGAGGGCCCATGCCAAATATTTTCAGCCTCCTGAGGGGGAAGAGGTATTGTTGTGCCTTCTTCACGACTGTGTTGGTGTGTGGACCATGTCCTTAGTGATGTGTACACCGAGGAACTGTTTGATGGCTCATTGGAGGTCGTAGAGGTATTTTTTATAAGTGTCCGGATTAGTGTCCCCCTCCTTGAAAGCGGCAGCTCTAGCCTTTAGCTCAGTGCGGATGTTGCTTGTAATCCATGGCTTCTGGTTGGGATATGTACTGTACGTACGTCACTGTGGGGACGACGACATCGATGCACTTATAAATGAAGCCGGTGACTGATGTGGCAATGTTATTGGATGAATCCCAGAACATATTCCAGTCTGTGCTAGCGAAACAGTTCTGTAGCTTAGCAGCCGCTTCATCAGACCACTTGCGCTCAATACGGATCACTAGTACTTCCTTTTTGAGTTTTTGCTTGTAAGCAGGAAAAAGGAGGATAGAGTTATGGTCAGATTTGTCAAAGGGAGGGTGAGGGAGAGCCTTGTATGCGTTTCTATGTGTGTAGTAAAGGTGATCAAGAGTTTTGTCACCTCTAGATGCAAACGTGACATGCTGGTAAAAATGAGGTAAAACAGATTTCAGTTTCCCTGCATTCCCTGCACCAGTTTCGAAGAATATTAAAACAATCAACAGTAGGTCAATTGTTACAATTCTGTACCAACCTTTCCAACTTAAAAAATTGTTTTTAATTTCCTCTGCACTACAGAAAACTGCAATCTACAGTGCATAGTGAAAGTCTACACACCTTTTGCACAGTCTTCACATTTTGCTGCCTTAAAATTAAATACAACATTTATTAAATTAGACATAATGATTGTTATGTCTGGTGGATTATCATATATAAATGCGGATTTGCATATTTGTAGGCAGAAATAGCCGCTAGATCGGATTGATTTAGCAGGGATCTTATTTTGCGGTTCAGTGAAGCTTTTACCATTTAGTGTTCAGATAACACATAACAAGTATCAGCTCCAGTTAGGGACCTCAAATCACCTTTTAGAGGAATCAGCTGCCTGACAACACTCCAATCCCACTGAGTATTTTAAGAATCACCAACCATTATAAAAGTCTGGTTTGATGTTGAGTGGGATGGAAGGCTATTGCTTCAAAGACGTGCCATCATACAAATTACTGTAAACCAAGTAAGCTATTACTTGTTAGCCTTTTGAATACCACATCCTTACTCCCTCTGGGTAAGTGATTGCTCTCCCACAAGACCC